CCTGGTTTGCATCATAGAAGAATCGTGCCACCTCTTTGTAAGGGACAGAAATCCCAAGAAGGAGCAAGATCAGTTTTGCACAAAATAAATCCAAGGCACTTTTATGAAGTGATATATCCTATAGGCGATAAGCGCAAAAATCTGGAGGGAAAGCTGAGCCAGAACTGCAGACGTGGAAGCCATAGCAGGAGTGTGTGAGAGCACATGGAGAGGGCTCAAGATCTGCTCCTGGGGGAGTAAGTCAGGGATGTGGCTCGAGACTCAGGACAGATATTCTCTACCCCTACAGGGGTTCAGAGGCTACTGTGATGCTACTTTAATAATCTTAGTCTGTTATTCAGGAAATTATTTGCTATGGGATACTGGCGCAATCTGTTAATCAGTTTGAGCTCTGACTTTCTCACTTATAAAGTATGTATGACCATACTCACATAATAAGATATTCTGAGGCCTAAAGAAGGTAAGCTGTGTTAAAAAACACCTCACCCAGAACTTGATACATAATAATGTCTCAGAGGTGTATATGTTGCTTGAATCTAAAACCAGAAAGCTCATAGAAAAATGATACTCATCACCACCCCAGCCCCCAAATTGCTGCTTTTCCTGTGTCCTCTGTCTCTACCAGCTGTCTAAGCCAACAACCTAGAAGCTATGTCTGTCTCCTCCCTCTGCTGTCACATCTGATCTCTGCCCAGAACTGTCAAATCAGTCCAATTCATGTACACCATGGTCATTGCCCTCTCTGCAGCCTCCCTGATTCTCAGCCTAGGTCACTGCAAGCCCCCTTCCTGCTGTCCTCAACTGCCCAATGCACCTCTAAGCTGCAGCACTGTGAGCTTCTCTAAATGGGAAATCAATATAATTTACTGGCTAAATCCTCTACCCCCTTGTGTAAAGTCTTAAGTTTATAGAATACTGAATCATTCATAGCCTCAAGAAATATAATTTTACTTAACTTCCCAGCCTCAAATTTCACCATTCCTCTCGTTAAGGACTCAATTTTATTCCGTATAAATCCACTGTTAATCCAGGTCACCTCTCCTCTCATCAACCGAGCCACTTGACCCTGCTGCATTCTACATGTCCCTTAGGGTTCAAGTCACCTCCAAGATGAAGCCTTCTTGAGGCTAGGTTGGGTTCTCTTCCCAAATGCTTCCAGAGCACCCTGTTCTAGAACCGCACTGGTCCTCTTGAACTCCTTAATCACTCTTCCTACATAATATGTTTCCCAAAGACAGAAATATGTCCTACCCATCATCTTATTCCTTATACAAAGAAAGGTCAATCAAAAGTATGTTTAAAGTGATTAATATGTATCTATTTAGATGAATAAATTTTAAAATCCATTAAAAATATGTATGTTTTGAGCAATTTTGTAAAATACTTAAATGATAAAAATTTCTTCTCTGGCTGCCTCTGAAGCCACAATTTTCAGATATTTGATTTTGAGCAGGTTAAACCTCTCTATAATTATCTGTAAATGGAGATAACAAGTGTACCTACCTCATAAAGTTATTGAGAGGATTAAAAGATTTAATACATGTACATGATTTAAAAATGGCACTTAAAAGTATTCAAGAACTCTCAATAATTACCTGTTTTTATCATTAGCAATGTTATTATTTTCTGTAATATGGGTTCCTTTGTGTTTGGAATCTGTCATGTGCCAAGGCTCAGGACACATTTCTCAAGGTTACGAGTTTAAAAGACTTGAGTAAACTTAAAAGTCAGAGGTCAGCAAGAAGAAAATTTCTGAGTGCCCTGAGCCTCCCACTGTCCCCACAGAGAGGCATGCAGAGACCAGACGCTCTGCTGGACACATGATGGGTAAAGGTTCCCAGCAAGGAAACCCACGCTCTCATCACTCTGTCCTCACACAGGACAAACAGGAGGGCAACTCCATTGAGAGGGAATAAACAGCCTGCTTAATGGTAAGCAGCCTAGATTTGGGTACCAACTATTCACTGGAGTAGCCTGGGAAAGTCAGCTACCCAGCAGCTAAGGACCTGGGGCCAATGGAAACAGTAACCCCTCTAGACGAGAAGATGAAGCCATCAGTCTTATAAGAACCTGAGTGTGGATCAAGTATCTCCCTGTTAGATAAGAGCAAGGCCCCTGTCTTTGGCAAATCAAAGTGAGATCATGAAATCATTTTTGGACATGGATGCTTTATATACCACGTTTTTAATTAGTATCGCCCTTCAGGGAGGACTTCCACTTCTATCAGGCTTATTCTTTAACTCTATTTTGGGTACATAGAGACTCCTTGTTTTCTAAGATTGTGTTTCTCTATCAAAACAAATCCAGAAATGTTTTCTAATAGCTTTTGTTTAGGTCAGTAATATTTATTAATGTGTCAGGAATTCTACTAAATGATGAGCAGACAAAATACAGAGGCGTATTTCCTGCTTTGAAGTCTGTCTTGCCTTAGAGGAAAGGCAGATGAAAAATTACAATGCCATGTAATGGATGCGATAATAGAAATGTGCACAAGACTCAGAAGCATTTAGCAATGACTCAGTTCATTTTGACATTACATTTTGCAAGCTATGAAATAAATGTGTTTTTTATTTACTCGGAATATTAAACTTAGGATCCAAATACAAATGTTGAAGTCTCATTAGCAGATACTGGGACAAACGGTAACGCAGCATTCACTGCTAAAATTGTGTTGAGTGATATAAAATTAGAGAGGAAGATGTCATACCATGAGGAGGGAAAAGCATTTCTAGGGAATGGTCAGAGGGAAATTTTGGAAGTTAAATAGAACTTAGTTCAAATTCCGACCCTGTCACTTACTGGCTATGGGAATTTAGGTATACTTCTTAACTTTTCTGAGTCTAAATTGTCTCACTTGAGAAATGAGAATAGTAAGAAGTACCACACTGAGTTATTTTAAGCAGTAAATGAAGAAAAATATGCAAAGCACCTTCCACGTGGTAGATACACAATACAGGCAGCTAGATTTTTCCCGGAATATAACCTCCCTTGTTGCCTACTTTATTCTATGCATTTATAATTAAGTAACTATGCTAAATTGATTATTAAACCATTCCTGAGGTAAGAATTCAAAGTTTTTTTTTAATAATAGGATTCTATTTTTCTTAATCACTTCTCCTACCTCCCTGCAATAGTTTTGATGCACTGCGTTTTTACACACATCGTGTTTTACTCAAATGTGCAAAAAAGTCTTAAAATTCAAGTCTAGTTGGTAGCAAAAATAATCAGAAAACATAGGAGAAAAATCTAGTTTTATAATGGAATATAAAATGAATAGAAAACTATTGGTATTCTGGCGCACTAAAGTATTCTGGTCACAAAGACAATGATGGGATTGTGAGAAATTACCTATTTCTAAAAAAGCTAAAACATAGAAGTTAAGAAGGTCCTGAAGACATATTATTGCTCCACTTTTACCAATGGTCTCTGAATAGTGCTGATTAAAAAAGAAATTAATTAGCATTTTTACATTTCTGTTTTTGAAAGGGGGCATGGCAGGAGTAAGGGTAAATTTTGCCTGTCTTTAAATGTTAGTTTCTCAGTTTTCCCACCTCAAAAATGGAGAGAATAAAGCCTTTCCTTTGTCTTTGACCTAGACATCACATCACAATGAATGTTCAAATGGATACTTTTGAATACTTCATAAAAACCTAAGCTACAGAAATTCAGTATCAACTTTATCATGTCATTAGGAAATTAACAGCTGAGTCATGTATTAAACAGATGAATGTCCAGCCTTCTTTTGTATGTGATTTCCCAGACACCAAGAGAAATATTTATTATTATCCGGTCCTTACTCTTAGCTCTGGTTCTTACTCAGATTCATTACCCTCTAGCTGTACTGTCTCATGGAGCAACATCAGCCACACATGGCTATAAAAATTTAAATTTTTTAAGTACATTTATTTCAGATTAATGTGAGAGTATAAACAACCAGGTCACAATATTTGATTTTGATAAGTAGAGTCACTTTTGTGGTTATGTGCCATACACAAAAAGTGTGCCAACCCCCCACCTCCCATGCCCATTCAGAGAGAGCACCCCATCCCCCTCCCTCAGTATCTTTCCCCCCAACCTGAAATGAAATGAGTTTTTCACCATGTGGACATGCATCAGATCATCTACTGGCTTCATCTTAGTATTGAGTACCCTGGATAATTACTTTTCCATTCTTGTGATACTTTACTAAGAAGAATGTGTTTCAGCTCCATCCAGGATATTACCAAAGATAAATTGAGTAAAAATAACTAAAATTAAAAATTCAGTTCCTCTCCTACTAAGCATATTTTAAGTGCTCTGTAGACACATGTAACTGTGTGGCCGTGTTGTACACAGAGAACATTTCTTTCATCACAGAAGTTCTACTGGAGCACAGTGGCCCAGAGAACAGTCGTGCCAGACGCTTCCAGTCTCTGTGGTCTTAACCAGCCATTAATAGTACTTCAAGGATTAAATGACCTGAGAAGTTATGGGAGGATGACTTCATAATCAGTGTCAGACCAAGAGAAAGCCAAAAGTAAGAGAAGAGGAATTAAATAAATGACAACATTCTCCTTTTTTTTTTTTTGGTTATCATTATAATAAAAGGTTAAAAAATGACCCCAGAAATTAAAATTTCAGTCAAATTCTGCTGAAGCACTACTTAAAACATTTGTTACATGTGGTTTGTACTAAATGCATTAATCTTATGCTGACTTTCTGATGTTCTAACTGGCTTTTTGAGATGGTCCAGCTAAATCACACAAGAACAAAATCTAGAGATGGTAATGAAACTTAACCCTCTCTTCTGTAAACCAGAAACACATGTTTAAAACATATTTTCTTCTAAGGCAGGGTCAGCAGATACATTGGATCTACTTGCAATTTTTGTTCACCACATTTGTATGTATCCTGAGTTAGACCTCTTGTATTCACAGGTGGTTTTCATGCTTACCACTATGTTGGTTTCTACTGCTTGGATAAAAATAAGAGAATCACCATCTGTGTATGTTTGCACTTAGGTCATTCTGTCCATTGAAGAAGGGTACAGACTTCCAGCTCCCATGGGCTGTCCAGCGTCTCTACACCAACTGATGCTCCATTGCTGGCAGAAGGAGAGAAATCACAGACCAAAATTTACCGACATCGTCAGCTTCCTTGACAAACTGATTCGCAATCCCAGTGCCCTTCACACCCTGGTGGAGGACGTCCTTGTGTAAGATGCATAACTTGGGGGTTTTGCTCTTGACAATCGTAATTTCTTGCAGCCGATAAGGCAAGAATAACAGGTAGAGAGGAAAATATTTGCCATGGTAATTGCCTAGCTGTCAACCTTGTATAAACCATATTTTATTTATCTACTGACAAAGCAAATTACTAACATTAAAGAAAACAAGAAATTTTTTTAAATGAGAAAACATATTTTCCTTCTCTTTTCTCTTTCTTTCTCTCAATCCTGAATTACTTTCTTTATATCTTTTCCTGTGTGGGTCTTTGGTATTTATATAGCCTTTTTTTTATGTACTGATCCTTTCCTACGTGTATAAGTAGAATTTGTGCAGCCCCTTTAATTTTCTTGCCCATTCCATGTCTGTCCCTCTGTTTGAAATGGCAAGGAAGACAGGGGCAATTTGTGAATCATCCAGGAGGGAGGAAGCTTCCCGCTGATATGATCATACCCAGCTGTTGTTACTTTTCATTCCTAAAACCAGAAAAGTACAGATGACAAGATAAGAAGTTGAAGGCACCCATATACCATCTCATAGAAGTCATCTACTCATCTCTCTCTGAAAAGCAATTATAAGAGGAGGAAAAGTATAAGAAGAAAAAAAAAAAGGCTAACATCTATATCTGAAAATAGTACAATTTAAATATCATAAAATAGAAAATATATCACTTCGTTTAGTCCAAATAGGACCTAGAAATAACCACAGCTTTATCACAGCCCGCTTTCCTGATTCAAGGGAGAGCCAAGGGGCTATTTAGACATTCGACTTCAGGTCACAAGTTTGAGGCAGTGCAGGCTTCAGTGACAATAAGGCTGAGCACTTCAAGGCCAAGGCTCACTTCACAGCAGAGCACTTAAGAGTTCACCTCTAAATCACTAATTGGCAGCCTCAGTAAAGTGAAGCCAAGCATGAAATAGCTAGAGATTAAACTATTACTCTAGACCATCTCCCCTAAAGCAGTCCAACACAGGAAGCAGTAAAGGGGAGGAAAGGCACTTTAGATTTTATCATGAAGGCCATGGACAGCCATTGAAGGATTTTTAAGCCAGAGAAGGGCATGATCACATTTGCATTTCTGAAAGATCACTCTAGGGATAATTTAGACTGTGAATGCAAAACAAAGAACGAGACCGGAAACGGAGACTGTGGTACGTGTTCAGCACTCAAAGCTAGAAAAGAGCAGGGCCTAAGTTCTGAAGTGTACACAAGCTTGGGGTCAAGAAATAAGAGAACAAATTTACTGTTATTATTTTATAAAAATAAATAGTAATATTTATTATTAGGACAACCAATATGTCTTTGTCACTGACTGAATGTAGAGGGAAGAGGAGAGAAAAGAATCAAAGATGTTTGTCAAATCTCTTTCTCATGGAAGCTGGTGGACGGTATGACCACTCAGAGACAGAGGGAGAGCAAGAGGTTTTTGGAATAGAAGTGGGATCATTTGAGCATGCTCACTTGGAAATACCTGGGGACACCTAGACAATTACAGGTTGAACCTCAGGTGAAAAGAACTGGGCTAGGAATGTAGATTTGCAGATTGTAGCTGAAGCATGAAAAGTAGTTAAGGTAACCTGCAGAGAACATAAAGAATGCAAGTAAATAGAGAAAAAGAATTCAATCCTCTGGAGTGCCAAGATTTAAAGAATGAATTGAAAAAGAATGTACCCAACGGAGACTGAGAAAGAAGAGCCAGACAGGGAATGAAGAAAACTGGGAAGGAAGAGTATTACAAAAGCCCAAAGAGGAGAGAGTTCCAGGGAGTGTAATGCCCAGGGCTCTACAAAGCTTCAAGCGGAAGCAAGTGTGAAGTGAATACATTGGATTTATCCATGAGGTCTTCAGGTGTTCAAGGGAAGCCTTTGCGAGCGCATTTTGGAAGTTGTATTATGACAGATCGCAAGGAGAAGAGTGACGATGAGGCCAGAAAGAGAGGCTGTATGCAGTACAGATTTCTTCTCAAGAAAAGCAACTGAAAAGAAAAAGAAGTAGCTGGAGGAAATGTTTCTTGTTTTTGTTTTTATACATTTTATTAAAGTGACTTGATCATATTGAGAAAGAACTCGTAGAAAGGGATCATGAAGGGAATCCGCAATAGTGAAAGAGGATATTGTCATCCCTAAGCTGAATCATTTGATCTGCGCCTCCTGTTGGGGTGTAGGGTCAATAGACTGTACAGCCAGTGCCCATCAACAAAGCTGTCTGACTGTCCTATGCTATATAAACAGACAGGTAAGAGGCTTCTTTTTGAAGAAAACCAGATCAAAAATTTTTTTTCTCTGCTTTTTCGAGACTGTGAATGAGTATCATTATTTGGAAAATATTGTTGAAGAATCTACAATGAGAAAAATGCTAAAAAGTAAAAAGGATCCGGAGGTCAAATCAGGATAAGGGTTGTGTCCAGGTGCCAGAGGTTTCTGACTTAGTGGGGAGCGCAGCAATCCTGTGGAACAGGCCAGAGAGCAGCAAACTTCATGAGAGCCATGTTACCTGCAGGCTAAGATTTGGGTGCTTTAAATAAAGTCAGCAGCTTGATTCAATGCTAACATCTGCTCCTGGGAGACCAAATGGAAGTTTTTGTGACTGATTTGGTCTTCTTGGTTCTGACAAAGATATATGTGCTACTGCTTTGATTAGTAGTACAGTTTTCTTTGAGAAACAGAAGGAGCCATGTTCTAAGGTTTCATGCCCAAAACTTCATCAACAATCCTTGTCTTCACAGCAGCCTGAGTGGGTTCCCTTGATCCCCCAATACCACCAACCCACCCTGCCCCTAATCCCAGAGAACTGAGACTGTCTGGGAGAAGAGATGTGACAGATTATAGGACAGCAACGTTCACGACAGAATGTCTGGTTTTCCGAGTGCTTATAAAGCAGTCATGCTGCCCCTCTATTTCCTGAGTCCCAGAACCAGGCTGTCTGTCCCAGATGAGGCTGAGTTAAAGAAACATGAAGCAGTATGGAACTTTAATCTTTCCTCAAGCCTGGTAAGGAGTCCAAACGTGTAACCCACAGCAACTCCGACTAAATGCTCCTGAACACTCCTTTCCTCCAGTGTCCCCAAACTCCCAGGTTTCTCTCACGCTTCTATGCCGATATCACTCTCTCCTCCACTAGGTCCCCAGGGTCCCTATGCCACTTTCATTGCATTTTTCTTAAGAATTCACCTGCAAAGCTTTCATCCTTTCTCTTGTCAGAGTAGTAAGAGGGGAAGAAATTAAGATGACAAAGGGAGGATAAGGAAGGCCGTGGAACCCACAGTTTAATAATCTTAGACTAGCGTATCGAAAGTTTCATAAACCTTACCTGTGCAACTGCTCAGAGCGCCTAATTGAGAAAATGTTGGTCAGAGAAGGCATTGATTATTTTGGAGCAGCAGTTCTCACCTTTTTTCCTGCTGACAGTCTTGTGCCTGAAGCACTCCCGTGGGAATGTTCAGAGCTCTGTGCAGTTCCCAGCATGCTTGCTTGCTCTCCTACTCAACAAAGTATGTGATATACTGGACAAGTGAAGGTGGCAAAATTAGAAGTGCATCTTAAATCCAATTAATGGGAAAAAAACTAATTCACAAAGCTACTATGGTAATAAAAGCCGTCATTCTTTCATAAATGCAGATTTCAAAGTTCCCTCCCATTCACTCATTTTATAATAATGCCTTATCACCACCTTTCCAAGAATTATTTGTAGCTGTCGTGTTGTGCACAGACCCTAGGATAAAGGATCCAGCTTGAGGGCAAGGTTATGTTAGAACAGCATCTGAAGCAGTGCCTGGCCATCCACTTTGAATCACCTTATTCTCCCTCTCCCCCACCCCTCCAGATTAACTCCATAGCTGCAGCCACCCCATGTAAGTATACTCCCACAGAGTTGAGGGTTTTATGTGGGTTCCTATAACCCAAAGTGCTTCAGTGACCACACGGTCTCTCTTCACCCAGCTCCTTCTCTCCCACGTCCACCCCCACCCATGTTGTCCCACACATCCATTTTCCATCCTCAACCCTCACCCTCATTCCTCCACATCCTGAGGACTACTGAGTACACTAGGTGGTGGTCGGCTGGCCAGTGGCCTTTTGGACAAAGCTGTAATGTAATTGGAAAATAATGCTTTCTTCTAATCCCTAATCCCCACCATGTCACTGAGAAAGAATATTCCAGATTATGGGCTTCTTGACTATCAGTGCAAAGGTGGCATCCAGGGATTGGCAGGGCCAGTCTGTGATAATCAACTACATCAGAAATCATGTTTTACTGGGCCAAGCCAAAGCACCTTCTGAATATTCTTACTACACATCGGGCCATAATTAGGGACCTTATAGAATTTTAACTCTTAGTAACTGCAACCACCCTTTCTTAGTACATATTTCATTGAACTTCCAAACACTTGGCTTCCAGTAATATGTGAAAGTTCATACTAACACCACAATTAAAGTTCTCTGCTTTAAAGAACTGTGTGTAATGTTCTAAGACTGAATGGTGCTACTTACCTCCATTCAATTAATAGTGCACCAACAATGCTATCTGACAAACACAATAACGTACAACAATTTGATATAAAATTTTCCATTCATTTTGAAAAGATCTTATTTAATGCCATCTAGGCAGTACCTAATCAGCATTTGCTAAATTGTTTATCTTCCTTTACTAAGTCATGGATAATTTGTTTTGTTTTGATGGTTATTGCTAGCACTTTTAGTGATTTTTTTCATGACAGAGAAATAACTGGCTGGCCAAAACCAACATTGTAAGTGAGTGATAACCAAAGTATTATAGAAGGAAGATAGAATGTGAAAGGTTGATTAGAAGTGGTGAAACTTCTACCTGCCCATTAAAATGTCTAACTTCACATGAACTGCTGGCACAAGGTAGTTGTTAAACTAATGTCAATACCAATACTAATATTGATATAAATTCTCCTGTACTATACTATCAACTATAACTATTGTTGAGCACCTGCTATGTGTCAGCTATTCTACTAGGCATTTTTATT